AAGGACAAACATTTAATAGCTTTATTAAAATATTATTGTGAAGGGTAAAAAAATACATATATACACAAGCTGGGCATGGTGATACATGCATGTAGTCCCAGCTACTCAGGAGGCTGAGGTGGAAGGATTGCTGGAAGCCAGGTGCCCAAATCCAGAATCTAGCCTGGACAACATAGTGAGACCCTATCTCTAAAAAGAAAATTATAAAAATAAAAAATTATACCTGGATTTTCAACTGTGAGGGGTGTTGGCATCGCTACCCCTGTGTTGTTCAGGGGTCAACTGAAGTTTAGTTTTGTCTGCTTTTGTACTTTATGTAACAAGAATCACACAGTATGCATTCTTTTAGATTTGGCTTCTTTTGTTCAATATTGTTTGAGATATTTATCTGGTTTTTTGTTTTTTTTGTTTTTTTTGTTTTTGGCCTGTAGCTTTAGTTCATTCATTGTCATTGCTGTGTAGGATTTCATTGTGTGAACATATCATTATTTACATGTCATGCTGTTAATGTACATCAGTATTTGGCTATTATGAATGTTGCTATGGGCACATGTCTCTTGGTGCCCATGAGCACACATTTATATTGGGTAAATATCTGGGGTGAAATTATTAGGTCATGGGGTGTATCTGTATATATCCAACTTTGGGTATATATAGCTCTCCAACTTTGAAAGTGTTTTTTGATTAATAAAAGCTTTTAAATTTTGTGTTGTCCAGTTTACTAATTTTTACTATTATTGTAAATGCTTTTGTGTGTTTCAATGAGCTCTGTGATCCATTTAGAATGGAAATCTGTATATGGTGTGACGTAGTAGTTAAGATTCCTTTCTCCCCCATGTGATTATCCAATGAACTCAACATAATTTATTGAAGAGACCATTCTTTCTCCACTGCTCTGCAACAAACTTGAAAACAATCAAGGTGCATACATGCATCAGTATTTTTCTGGGCTTCTGTTCTGATCTATCCTTTACCAAAAGCCATGCTGACAATTAATAATAAATCTTGCTATCTGACAGAGCAGGTATTACCTCTTCCTCCTTCTCTTTCGACAGTGTCATGGCTGTTGTTAGCCCTTGGCTATTTCATATAAATTTGGAATCAGATGGCCAATTTTTTGAAAAATGAACGTCCTGAGATTTTGATTGAGATTGCAGTGATTAATTTTGAGAAAATTGACATTCTTAAAATATTGAGTCTTTCAAATCACAAATAAAATGTACCCCTCCATTTACTCAGTCTTCTTAATTTCTCTAAGTTATGTTTAATCTTTTTCTATATGTAGTCTTAAACATCTTTCACATTTACTAGTTGTGTGATGGTTTTTCATTATTTAAAAAAAAGGACATAAAATTATATGTATTTATTACATACAAGATGTTTTGAAGTATAGAACATTGCATAATGACCAAATCTAGCTAATTAACACAGTATTATCTCACATAGCTTATTATTATTTTTGAGATGGAGTCTGGCTCTGTTGCCCAGGCTGGAGTGCAGTGGTGCGATCTTGGCTGACTGCAACCTCCACCTCCTTGGTTCATGCAATTCTCCTGCCTCAGCCTCCCGAGTAGCTGGGATTACAGGTGCCTGCCACCAAGCCAGCTAATATATTGTATTTTCAGTAGAGATGGAGTTTCACTATGTTGGTCAGACTGGTCTCTAACTCCTGACCTCAGGGGATCTGCCTGCCTCGGCCTCCCAAAGTGCTGGATTACAGGTGTGAGCCACCATGCCCAGCCTCACATAGCTTTTTTATACTCTTTTACATTATATATATTCAAAACGTTTCTAACTGTATGTTGCTAGTATATTAAAAACACATGAGTTTTTATATCGACCTTGTATTCAGCAATCTTGCTAAACTCACTTTTTAATTCTCATAACATTTGCCTCAAACATTTGAATGATTCTATTTTTCTTTTTAAATTATCTTACCTTTCAAATAATTATCTAATTAATCAGTTAATCAATTGCTTTGTTGCACTTGCCAGGGTCTCTGGTTCAATTCTGAGTGGAAGCAGTGACGGTGAGCATACTTGTTTTGTTTTTCATCACGAAGAGAAAACTGATTCTCTCTCTCCTTCGTCTCTCTCCCCGTCATTTCTTTCTATTAACTATTGGAGGACATGTAAGATGATCATACTACTTGCTCATTATGTAAAGATGACAGTTTTTCCCATTTAACATATTAATTCTAAAGAGTCCCAATCTAAACCCCAAAAGTGTTTTTCATAGGTCTTGATAAACTAATTAAAAATTTTATCTAAAGAGAATATATGCAAGGTTGCAAATAAATTCTTAGACAGCAAAAATAATGAGGGCTTGGGCTAGATATCGAAACACTTTTGTCATAGGTTTGGCACCCTAGCAGCAGAGCCAAAGACAGGGACTTTTCAGGTAATTTTGGGGGGGAGTGTGATGGGGAGGGTGCTTGTTTTAGAGAAGCAGAACAAGGCAAGGGGAAATGTTAATTAATCATGTGATTTCTGCTAAAGACTGACTTCAGTCTAATCTCGTGGGGGAGGTCTGGAGGAGAAGTGACACTATAAAGTTAGTCTTACCCAGGTGGCTGTCTTTTTTTTTTTTTTTTTTTTTTTTTTTTTTTTTTTTTTTCTTTTCTTGGAATTTCACTCTTGTTGCTCAGGCTGGAGTGCAATGGCGTGATCTCAGCTCACTCCAATCTCCACCTCCTGGGTTCAAGTGATTCTCTTGCCTCACTCTCCTGAGTAACGGGGGTTACAGACATGTGCCACCACGCCTGGCTAATTTTTGTACTTTTAATAGAGACAGGATTTCACCATGTTGGTCAGGCTGGTCTCGAACTCTTGACCTTAGGTGATTCACCTGCCTTGGCCTCCTTAAGTGCGGTGATTACAGGCCTGAGCCACCGCGCCCAGCCAGGGGCTGTCTTTTTATGACCTTATGCCAGTGAGTCATGCCTGAAGTGTGCCCTGGTGAGGGGGATGGGGTGGTACCTGGCTTCCCAGGTAGGTAGCTGTCCTTTAGCCGAGAGAAGGGCATCTGTGAATTATAAGGCAAAACAGAAACTGGGTAACAGGCATGCTGGTAGGTTAAGGAAATCTGGTGGGAACATCAGCAGCATCCACTATGAATATGCTTGGAGAAGAAAAATACTACAAGTCAGTGTCAGTAATAGACACACAGAGGTTGGAACAAAACTGTGAGCTATGGAACAGGGTTGGGAACCTATCAATACTCTGCTTCAGAGGATAACTATTTCTTCTCCTCACTTGTCAGCACAGAAATCATTTTTTAAATGGTTCTTGATCATCAACACATATTCTACCTCTGGGGCAGTTTTGATCCTAGAAAGGAGAGACGGATAAAAGAGAACAGGGAGGAGTCCTATGATAAGAGGTTGGGAAGGCATTGAAAATTAGGTTTAGAGAGAATAAGGATGAGAATCTGTCACCAGATGGAGGTACCTGAGTGTTAAACAAGAGCGATTCCTGGTGTGAGTGGGCTACTATAAGAGAGGGAAGGTAAAGGTCCGAGAAGTGAGAGGCGCTGGCAACAGGAACGATGAAGGCGTACAGGGTGGCAGTAGCAGCTGGGGTGGACAGGAAGACCATATGCAGAGTCCTGGAGGGGCCCGTGGGTGGGAACAGAGCAGCACGGCACGATGGCCTAAGTTTCCAAAGGGGAACATGGGAGGTGACTGAAGGAAGAAAGACTTGGAAGAAGAGGGAGTGCGAGGGAGAACAGGAATGGTGACTTTGCTTTCCCAAGATATGAGTGGCCATTCCCAGAAAAGACTACGGGATGTAGTAGTCCTCAGGAAAAGCCAGGTTTCCTGCTGAAAGCAGGTGGTAGAAAAAAAGCTTTAGCAAAAAGCAGAAGGTCTGTGGAAATGGCTGGGCAATAGAACAGGAAGTCTAGGGGCCACAGAGAAAGAAATGAGGAGATATAAACTGATAGGGATATTAAAACATAAAGCATTATGGCTGACTCAGAGATTTTATGCCATTTTAAAAAAATGAACATTTCCATTTCACTGGCATCCTGGGTTAACTAAGTGTTAATTCTTTCTAAACCTTACTCAATTTGCAAGATTCTCAGTGCTCATTAAAAAGCAAATCAATTAAATGTGCCTTTGAGTTTACTTAAAGAGTAGCAATTAAAATATTTTGAAAAAAGTAAATTGTGAGTATGGAGATTGGAACACATGTGACCCGTATGCCCTTCGAGCCTGCGTATCTAGGAGGTGTTCTTCTAGGCAGAAGGAAGAGCTAAGACGCCCTTCTAGGAGTTGCTGCCCAGCAACGATGGCAAATCTCCAAGCCCTTTACTGAAGATTAAAGCTGAGACTAATCCAAGCACAGTTTCTTTTAATGAACTGGTAGGGCCAGTAGAAATGCTGCAGGGTTGGCAGGAAAAACTGGAATCTGGGGGTGTAATTTCCTGTTGAGGTTTTTTTGGTAGTGTTGTTTTCCTGAAATCAGTGAGGGTATTGAGGGCTTATGAATTATTAGCGTTAGAGACAGTAGCTGGTACATAATAGACTTGATAAATGTTTATTGAATGAATTAAAATGAGATATTTTATAATTAATGGATGGAATAATTGAGAGTAAGAATAGGTGTGTGTGCGTGTGTGTGCGCGTGCGCGTGAACTCTTGCTTGTATGTGGCTGCCTACCCGAAATTTTCTTGTTCCTTTTTCTTGTTCTTTTCTAGCAAGATAGTTTTCTTTCATTTTCTTCCTGGCATCTGGTACTCCTAAACAATACAACTGCAAAAATAACTCTGTTACAGAGAATGACTTGTCAGGACACAGCTCTGTCCATCGTGGTAAGTAAAGTATGCGTTTAATGTATGTCTTCATCAGGCTATATACCTTTGGTTCCCAGCGTTGGTTGTACGCTGTAATCACCTGGGGTGATAAAAATTCTGATGCCTGGTTTCCACCCGAGAGATGCTGACTCAGTTCGTCTGGGGTGGGGCTTGAGCATAGATTTTTTTTAAAGTTCCAAGGAGATTTTAAGGTGCACTCAAGGTGGAAAACCACTGCTGAAGCAGATGTGGAGAACTATAAATTAAGAATCCCAGCTACTTAATTGACATATGCTTCCTAGTTCCTTGCCCAGCCACCACTGTCTCTCCAAAAACCCGAGGTAAGTTCTTATTTTGGCTCCAATTTAAGACCTCTGTATTTTGAGAACGATGATGTTTGTTGTTTGAAAGGATTACTTGTATTGTGCATGGACTTTCTGGAGGTAGTTTTATTTCATTCAGTTCCTACAGGGCCATGACAATGTATCATCTTTGACAGTAAATGAATCCATTTTATTTATTAGTTAACCTATAAAGAATCCCTGCAAGGAAACCCGAGGTTGAAATGGAAGCTTTGATATGGATGTGGGATGCCTTAGCAGGGATGGGCCCTTGAGGGCAAAAGTCCCCAAAGTATGTGGGCTTTAAAAAACTTTAGTTTTCGTTAATCTTATTTTTGTTTTAGGATTTCTCCTAAAGCCTTTACTTCCTAGTTATAAAGTAGCTGATAATAAAGCAAACATAAAAACAGTTCTACCTATTTATTTTTGGCAAACATTAATTGCTCTTTAAAAATTATTTTTGTGAAATGACAAAAGTAATGCAAGCTCATGTACAAGCCTAAAACAATACAGAACAGTGTAAAACAAGAAAACCCTTTCATCTCCACCTAATAATTCATGACCAGAGATATGTGGTTTGTGCTTCAGAAAAATTCAGCCCAGAGTCAAGTTTTTATGCAGTTAGGGAAAGGGGTTTAAGAGATTTAATCAATCCTGTCCCTCTCTGGGCTGAATTTTGAATCCATTGAGAAATAGTATCAGATAAGGATTCAAGTCTTGGCTTTATTATTGCTAAGGTTGGATCAGAGAGCACTGCTTGAACTTGAGGGCCCTGGAGATTCTTGTGCCTACCCCCCTGCCTTATCATGGGCCCCACATCTGGACAAACTGGTGTTGCCTGGACAAGGGCTGGGTCTACCTGGGGAAGCTTTCGTGAAGAGGAGGTTGTGGGGAGGCAGAGGCAGGCAGGTTCAAACACAGAACAAGAGAATAAAGTCATTAACACATGAACCCTGCCCCCCGGGGTAATGAGAACTGAGCACCACCAGAGGATGGAAGACTGCGGTGGATTGATGGATGTCTCCCGGCAAGAGAAGGCCAAGAGAGGATGTGAGAAGCAGGTAGCAGCGACCTTTCACCAAGAGGGTGGAAATCCCTGTATTCTGTATCAATGCAAGAAGAGGAATGGAAGCAGGAAGGGTTCCCCTGACACAGAGTAATTAAAATGTTCAGTTTTGATTGTTGTTCTTGCTGTTCTAGATATCGCTAAATCATCATCATGGATTCACTGGGCGCCATCAGCACTCGATTTGGGTTTGATCTTTTCAAAGAGCTGAAGAAAACAAATGATGGCAACATCTTCTTTTCCCCTGTGGGCCTCTTGACTGCCATTGGCATGCTCCTCCTGGGGACCCGAGGAGCCACCGCTTCCCAGTTGGAGGAGGTTGGGCACAGTCGGGGGGCTTCCGTGTTTTCCATGCACAAATTCATTCTGGGGGTTGTTCAGCCCTCTTGCATTATCTTAAAAATATGTTCATGGTGGACCAGGAAACAAAGACTTTCAAGACGGGGAGCAATTTCAGGTCTATCAGGAAAGCCCTCTTCCCTTTCCAAATACCGTCTCCCCACCTGCTCCCAGAAACTTGAATTGTTTTGAGTAGGGACTGGTTGAGTGACTTCGTCTAAAGCCATTGCACTCATAATTAAGACAGAGCATGAAAAGCACTTATGGAAAAAATGACATAATCCCCACAAGGGTAAAAATGACACATCCAAGATGAACACAGGAACACATAAGCCAATACAAGCTCCTTAGAAAAAAACCAGAGGTATTTTTAGTAGAGA